ATACAATAAGAGTGATGTGACCATGGAAAGCATTTCTTCACGGAATTCTGAAGTCCTTTGTCCCTATCAGAGATTAACACCAGTTCATCATCTGGAGTATATGGATCTTCATCATTGAAGAGAATGTCTCGAATGCATTCTAAAAACCATTCCCGATTACTCTCATTTTCCGTGACGCATATGCAAATTGCTACGAGAAACATTCCACCATCTCCATTTAGTGCAGTTGCGGCAAGTAAGGTTCCTTTATACCTATAAAAGAAAAGAACAATCATGAAACAAAGTATAAAATATATGAAGTAGTACATTAATGCAAGTTTTTATTAGATTGAACTCTAACATACCTATCAAAAAGATGTGTACCATCCAAGAACAACATTGGTCTACATCCCTCCATAAACCCCTTCCAACAACCATAATAAGACACAAATACTCGTGTAAATCTTCCGTCTTCATGCTCTAAGTGAACAATTGATCCCGGATTGGTTTCTATAACTTTATCCTTATACCATCGGAGTTGGTCATATGAAAATTTAGTATCACCATACAATTCACGTTGAGCTAGCTCTTTTCCCCACCAAATTCTATGATAAGGGACGTCCAAACCAAATTCTATTTTAAGCTTCTTTTGGAAATCAATTGGGCGATAAGTGGGTTGTTCCTTCAATATGGTCTTGAGTTGATTAGCATTCCACTTACGAGATGCATGTTGATATCCTTCATTTCCTATGCCTCCTCCCAAGCAACTATGAGAACTACATATTTTTTTGACATAGAATCGATCACTATCTCTACGACGGGTGCAATGAACCATCCATTCGCAATTTGCGGCCTTACATTTTGCTGTCACCCTTTTGCGTTCATTTTTTACAAATTCTAAGTTAAATCATCGTGCAATAGAGTAATTGCTTAAACTCCGCCGACAATGCTCAACATCATCAAATTCTTGACCAACACTTCTAATAGCATTGTGCCATGCAATAGGAATCATATTAGAGCTCTCAACTTCCCGAGACATATTTTGTGAATACGATGGATTTTGTGAACGAGACACATGTTCGTCACTAGAGGGGATATACGGATTACTGCATAGAAAATTGTACAAGAGTTAAGAAAGTGATAATGTTAAAAGTACGAAACTATATCAATAGTGTAAATTACCTTATATGGACATTGTTAGCTTGTATCCCAAATAATATGTCTCGATTCATCTCAGCGTTCATGACAACAATATTCTCCTTGCAACTTCGATGTACATTGACCATTATCGAGACATCAGCATCATCACATACACGAACATAAATTTCTTGCGTGTGGGGTACTTTGTAAGTCAACTGTATCGTGCTTGCACTACAAGCAATTAGGCTTTGCACTGCAACGGCCAAATCTTTGTAACCCCCGTTGACATTTAATTCTAAAAAGTGATCGTGTCCTCTAAAATCCGTCAATGCACAATACAATTCTTCGTCCATCTATATTTATCACCAAAAATAAACAAATTTAGAGAAAAATTTCACAAAAGATAGACACATAAAATTAATACAGCTAAAATACTGCTACATGATAACATGATAACGTGCTATACTTACAGGTTAACGTGCTATACTTATAGGTTAACGTGCTATACTTTCAGGTTAACGTGATATACTTTCATATTAACATGCTATACTTACAGATTAACGTGTTATACTTACAGGTTAATGTGCTATATTTACAATATAACGTGCTATACTTACTCTATAACATGCTATACTTTCAGGTTAACGTGCTATACTTATAATATAACGTGCTATACTTACAGGTTAACGTGCTATACTTACAATATAACATGATCCATCTATATTTATCACCAAAAATAAACAAATTTAGAGAAAAATTTCACAAAAGATAGACACATAAAATTAATAATTTTATGAACTCATTTAACTAAATTTGACTAATATTTAACTAATTGTTATGAATTCATAAAGAATAAAGAATAATGAGAAATTAGTGTGAAATAATTACAAAACCTCATTTAACTAACATTTTACCAAAATTGACGAATTTAATAATTTTTATGAACTCGTTTAACTAAATTTGACTAATATTTAACTAATTGTTATGAATTCATAAAGAATAAAGAATAATGAGAAATTAGTGTGAAATAATTATGTGAAATAACTAATGTGAAATAATTATGTGAAATTAATGGGTGGTTAATTACAAAACCTCATTTAACTAACATTTTACCAAAATTGACGAATTTAATAATTTTTATGAACTCATTTAACTAAATTTGACTAATATTTAACTAATTGTTATGAATTCATAAAGAATAAAGAATAATGAGAAATTAGTGTGAAATAATTATGTGAAATAACTAATGTGAAATAATTATGTGAAATTAATGGGTGGTTAATTACAAAACCTCATTTAACTAACATTTTACCAAAATTGACGAATTTAATAATTTTTATGAACTCATTTAACTAACATATCAAATAATTATCATGATTAAAATGAGAAATTAATGCTATAAACTTGATAGTTGAGTAAATTGCAAGTTTGTACCTTCAAATGCTAAGAAAGTTGGTGAGAAATAATTGCTGGGTTATAGGAGAGAGTTATTAAATGATGGGTTAAAGGAGAGTGTTCGGTTATATTAATGGGGTGAGAGAAAGGGAGAAGAAGAGGCGGAGAGAGATAGAAGACGGAGAGAGAGGGGAGGAGGGAATTTTACCGCCACTTTTCTCTCTCTCTTTCTCTCTCTACATTTTTTTTATTTTATTTGAGGGGGGCCCACCTACATGAAAGTTATAAGTGGAAGGTTGTTATTGGAATTTTAGAAAAATAAATAGTGGGACCCACATATGAGAGTATGGTATTTTAGAATTGGGTTTCAAAATATAAATAGTGGGACCCACATATGAGAGTATGGTATTTTAGAATTGGGTTTCAAAATAAATACAAAAAGTACATTGGACTTAAGGATACAAAAAATAGTTTTTAGAATTGGGTTTCAAAATAAATACAAAAAGTACATTGGACTTAAGGATACAAAAAATAGTACTTGGATTTAAAAATAAATGGGAGTAAACAAATGGACCTAAAAGTGAAAATCCCTAAATTTTTTAATTAACCGGTCAATATTAAAATTTCAGCCCTGAAATGAAAAGCTCCGTTAATTTACAGTGAATTAAAATTTCATTAACTTCGATTTATAGATTTGGTCCAAATCTACTCTTTAGTTGGTCATGACATGAATAATATCCATGTGAAGGACAAAAAACCACTATCTCTAGACTTCTTGTCTTTTGGTTCTCGTTTGCAATCGGAGTACAATAACCACATCATGCGCACCACTTTTTCTGTCTTAGTTATTAACATGTTTATACCTCTAACCATAAAGTGATAATAACGAGATAATTAATAATAACAATGAACGTGAAACTTGAAGAATTATTTAGTGATTATTAACATAACAGTACAAAGCCAGTGGGAATTGAACCCCACCTGATGATGCTTCCACGATACGTAGTTTAACATAGACAAATCAAATAATCAATCAAAAAATGTTACAAAAAAAATCCTTCAGTTAATGACAAGATTGACACCCTAGCAGCTAAGCTAGTAAATAGAGCCTTCGCAATTCTTTTCTTTAAAGATCTCAAAAGAGAGTGGCTATATTCTGATCTAAACTATGATTTAAGCATCACAAAGCAACATACATCAGTGTAATCCTTTTGGATTTAACTTGGTGTTCATTAGCCATCGGACCATGTGCCCTGAATTAGAAGTTAATCAGCAGACTACACTACCTGTAACAAAAGTCTCTATTCATTAGGCCCCGTTGGGTTGCAAAAGAGAGAGGCTGAAAGCCTGACAAAAGCTGACATCCAAAATCGCCTCTTAAAGAGGCTATTTTGGCTTAAAGCTGACAAAAATGTCAGCTTTTGTCAGGGATTCAACCTCTCTGAGTTGCAACCAAACGGGCCCTTAGAATGAGATCTATTGATTGTTTGTCGTATGCACCAATCAAGAAGAAGGGCATCTTTTTAATTTAATAAAATAAAAAAATCCCTATTGATTAAAACGTTTATGAATTAATATGTCATTAAATAAATGTAACTGCAGAGAGACTGAAATTAAGAATGTTAACCATTTTCAATACTTGACAACTTGATTGTTAGGGAGTCAAATCACTACCAACAGCAAAATCCATCCCTTTCTTTGTGTCTTCTTCACTTTCTGAACAAGTTAGAGAAAGATTGCTATGGTCCTCACAATGTGATGCAATTCAAGCAATAATCAATACATGCTTCTCTTTTCCTTCATCTTTTCTGATTTGATTCCAGACAAGGATAATGTTAGTTTTCTAGTTTAGGGAGTAGGTGAGGTTCAAAGCGTAAGCTCAACATTCTCTTACATGAACATCATTCATTGCACTTTTGAAAGCCACATAATGGATAGCCGAAACAGTGACATCAGATAAAAGTGTGTAGCAGCAAGTGATGCTTTTCAGTATGCTGGAACGGGATAAAGAAATAAACTAGAAAAAAGAAAAATAATAGTGTTGCTTTCTGAATCAAGGGGTTGCGTTGCTCCAAGTCGATTGTCTATCCTGATATAAAGCAGTGTTATTATAGCAGAAAAAAAGATGATCGTACAATCAGACAATATTCTGAAATGTTCTATTTTTCTTCTAAATGTAGGACAAGCGGACAACATTTAGAAACGTTCTATTTTTCTTCCAAATGTAGGACAAGCAGACAGCGACTGCACAATCTCTTCAATTGAAGATATGCAACAGGAAGTTCAACCATCGGGTTCTTGTCAAATTCAATCAACATGGCGATCTACGGAAAGATTATAGAACATCGCCTAAAGTTCCAACAAACTGGAGATATTTTGTATTGAGTTTCATACGGATAAAGCATCACAAAGACATAGTAAGCATATAAAGCATCAGCCCGCAGAAGAACAACCTCCACATTTACCCTTCCACTTGAAGCTTTGCGTAAAGAAAGTAAGAGGATAAAATAACACCAACAGATAAATATCCAAGAGTTGAGAATTGCAGTCAAGCAACATGGAAATGTTAAGGGGGTACTTGACATTGGTTTCTCAGTATACATCACAATTTCCCTGCATCTTCACACACCAAACCAATACCAAACTAAGAAAAAGTCTAAGAAATCACGGGGTCTTGGAACCTTCCGGTCTTTGAGGGTTCGGGGGTGTCTCAGCGTTCCCACTCCCTTGTTCAGTAGCCGAGTTCTTCTGGCCATCATCAGCAGCTTTCTCAGCATCTTTTTTGCTGCTCGGAGTTCCAGCTGGTGCCTCATTGCTGCCTCCTCCTCCTCCATGAGATGATTCAGTGTGCATCCCGTTAATGGAACCTACAGGTGGTCTCATGCCCGTGTGACCTTGGAATGGCATCATCTGGGTTGGATGATGCAATTGCTGCTGCTGCTGCAATTCTTGAATTTGTTGAGGGGTAAACTGTGAAGGAGACTTAGGAGGGAAAATGGGTGCCTGCTGCATGTATTGGGCACCCGCCTGAGGCATTGCAGTATGAGGAATCATCTGACAAACAAAAATGAAGCAGCACAAGATTTGAGCTGAATAAAGAAGAGAATATCTATGAAGAATGTCACACCAAAAAGAAAGCAAAGGTAAATAGCCTGAGAGCATGGAACTAACCTGAGGACGCATCCCTGGAGTTTGTGGCTGGGCATCGGCAATAGCTGCTAGATACAATAAATTCTTTTGGAGTTGTGCTTGGTACCTGACATACTTTGGTCATCAATATACATCCAATACCCATACACAGGTTTTATAATCTCATGAAAGATAGCCTTATTAAGAACTTTAAATCTAGCAGATTTACAAATAACATATACCAAACTGAACATATAGTATGATAGTGATACCTAGTAGACTTCAGCTCCGATAATCCAGTAGGACTTTGGATCTCTTAAGCCAGGAAAAAAGCCAACATCTACTTGAAGCATAACGATTGAAGAGTTCTACAAGGATAGAACAAAAATGAAGTTTTCAAGTAGTTACAACCAACCCCCACCCCCACCCCCCGGCTGCTGGCGGCCCATCCACCCACAAACACACACTGAAAGCCTGGCGAATACGTGTAGTTAGCGTGCACTCAAAAGTTAGTTGTTGTGCTCAAACTATCAAAAACAACATCTTATAAAGAACATCTGTCTTTGTGGGCTTATCTTGAACATACATAAAATAGCATCCATCATTAGAGAATGGTGCTCTAACAAATTTATATTCAGATAGTGCTCAAAAGAAAGAATACAGTTAAGGCTCTAATGTCAGAGAACTTTACAATTGAGTATAAGTGATAAGTAAATCATCAATTTCCATAATTAACCTCACTACATCAGAAAGCATAGATGAACTATATGGGACTCATGCAAGTGCTTTGCAGCCCAATAAACAATTTGATGCTGCAAACAGAAGATCAAGCTAAAAGCTTAAAACCCTTTGTGTTTATTTTGACCGTTGCAACTGCAAAGTGTTGAGAGTATTTTCAACTATAAATATCGTCAAATCTAAATTGTGCAACTGCATAAGTGATAAATGGATAATGACTGATTAGTAAAATATATTAAATCTGTTAATTTTTATAAATTTGGTAAAAATGCAATTATGAAATGATGTCAAAAAAAGGCAAAGCGTTGGGGTAATTTATAAATGTCGATCTCTAGATTAATTTCATTATTTTTTGGAAGCTAAGTGTTATCAATTTTGCCTATACTTTTCGAGTTGGAAATACTCTTTTCTTTTTGGTAAATAATCATTTCATGAATAATATTTGGTACAGTTTTTAGAACTTGAGACCTTATCATTTCTCTTGGAGAAATATTAACATTATCCTACATTCTTATTGATGTACTTGTTTTAATATTTTTCTATGAGAGGAGACAACCCCCGGCCCCATGTGACACAAATAAAATAAAATAAAATAAAAACCAACAACAACGCCCAAAACTCCAAATCCTGGCCACGCCAATGGTTACACCAATAAACAAGCCAGTCTAAGTCAGACAACAAGATGCAATAGGAAGTTGAAAATTACTATCGGGGGCGGCAAATCAGCTTAAATAAGTTTTTAACCAAAAGTTTAGCACCCTGTTAATTTCCAGAAGACATCGAATTAATGTCTGCAACCTAGCAAGTTTCCCAGAATAGTTCTACACATAATCACTAGAAACTCAGACAGGCTGTATTGTTATGTATGCGCAAATTAACACCTTGCTTTATCCACCTAAATTCAAAATTTTGACTAGTTCTTGAGGAAAGGATTCATGGTTATCTCCATGGTGTTTACTCATCTATTCTTGCTGCAAGGAGCTAGTTCAGTCATAAGATCATGCAATCAAGAAGATGAAAAGGTATTCTAGACATCCTTCTAATGCACTGAACAGACTGACACTAATTGTTAGCATAAAAAACAAAGAGAGAATGTAAGAGGAGAAACTTAATATTCTGGAGAGTAATGCATGTTGAAATACGTTAGCCGTAACTTAAAAGAAGATGTAGAAACAGGATAACAGTGAAAAGCAGCTACACATTTCATGTTACTTACTGGGCACACTCAGCTAGCCTTCCCATATTTTGATTATCCAAAATTGCAAGAATCAGTTGCTTGTTTTCATCCAAGTACTGCATCAAATATGAGACAGTTTCAGCAAACAAAACCTTTAGTATAACAGTCCAAGTGATGCCATATTAATAATCTCTACATCGATAGTAGATAGAGTTACATGCTAATAACTCATGACAGGAATACACTATATTGATACGCAGAGAACGCAATGTCCATGAAGCAAAAAATGACTTACAGACTAGTTCAACACAAACATAACATAGATAGGAACCATAATTTAAAGGTATTATGGCAAAAGATAAAGTAGAAATATAATTTGAATTGGATATGGCTGACGGCATGTACACCAAGAATCAAACATCAAAGACTGATAAGAGATATAGCAGTTCTAACCAACACGTAAGCAAAGATATCCAGTCAAACAAGGCAGCGAAAAAAAAAACTCTTCAATATTTATAATAGCAGTGACAAATATAGGGTGATAATAGAAATATTAATCATTAACTATTTGAAAGGATTGAAGAGCTAAGAAGCAATGACACCACCAACAATGAATTCTAAAATAGTACAAAAAATAACAATTATGCAACATGAGGGATAATGTCTCATACGTATGTGACATTTGTCAAACACTAGGTTGCATGGGTACAGGTACGAGTACAGGACATCAAATTTGTAAAAGGTAGGGTACAAGGACATGGCTATGTATGTGAATGTTATGTATATTTATATTTATTAAAATTAATAATTTATATAAGATCAATATTGTTTTTTCACTTACATAAGATCAATATATAACAAATAGATGTGAAGTGTAGAATATACTTCCAAGAAGTGTATAATGAGTGTTTTATATTAAAAGCAGTATTATATAATTGAGTATGAACCCAAATAAGCGTATGCATATATTCAAGAAATGTCCAAGAGGTTTGGGTATGGCACGTCTGTGTCGCTAATAGAAGTACCCAGGTAACATAGGTCAGACATGGCATGGTGTGTACTTCACACTCAAAGACCCCCATATCAAATAAGAAACTGAGACCAATTAGCTGGTTTGCTATGTGATCGTTGACGAGTGTTGAAAGAAAAAAAATCATTGGTCACACGTGCAAAAAATAACCTAATAACGTATTTTGATATTAATATTACCACAAGATAAAATAGAACATGATGATTGTGCAAATGAGATTCACGGCATTTATTTTCTTAATTTAAAAAATGATGCTAATAGCTTGGTAATCGCAAGACTTGAAGAACAAAACTGAATTTATTTACAGCCAATAGGCAAGTAGGTCGAGTTCATCATATTTAAAAATCTTCATTATTAAACCCCAAGCCATATTATGGTTTCATTAGAATCGACATAACCAAAGGGATTGCAAATATTAACTTAAATGAACTATGATACTAATTTTAAAAAATAAGACACAACTATAAAATTGAGCATGTTACTCACTTGGTGGAGAGTGACTGTAAGTGTTTCTATTCAAAGTATACGGTCGCATACAGATTCAAAGGGATCGCAGTAAAATGCTTGAACAGGACAGGGAAAAAAGTCTTTTCTAGGATTGGAATCCTACATTGTGCTAAGACATGACTGACATACATACAAGTTATAAAGCAGAAATTTATGTTTTTCTCCATGAATTTTCTTTAAAATGCAATAACAAATCTCCCACCATTTTACCAACTTCCATATGAATCCTCCTAAAAATAATAGGACTTGCAAAGAAAACTCAACAAACTGTTTACATTCTTCAACGTTTTCTGAAGTGAAAGGAAAATTTGGGAACAGACAATAATAAAGATGGCTTACATTACTGTCTTTTTGTGATACGAGTTGCCGTGCGAGCACCTTTGATCGCGGAATTATCAAATGTGGGTTGAGGAGAAAACAATAAGAACATAAGAATAACTCAGGTTTTGGGCGAAGGAAAATACCTTCTCTAGATTATGAGTATGCACTTTACTATCTCTCACAATCTCACTCTAGAATTGAAGAACAAGCTCTCCAAATCTCAATTACAATTTTAATCTCTCTTGATTAAACTCTCTGATTGTTTTAAACCCTAAAACAATCCCTTATATAGGTGTACAAACGAGGGTGGCAATGTGGTAAATAACCAAACCCAACCCAAACAGGAAAACGCGTAAATAGAGTCCTTAACGAATCTGGAAAACTCCGATGAGTCGACTCATGAACAGTCATGAGTCGACTCATGACCTCATATGAGTCGACTCATAACTGATAAGTCGACTGGTCAGAAACTTTTGCTAACAGGGCTTGATTTCTTGAGTCGACTCAAAACTGTATATGAGTCGACTCATGACTGATGAGTCGACTCATAAAATCATGAGTCGACCGAGCAGAAACTTTTGACAAAACGACTGCACTTCGTGAGTCGACTCATGACAGGCATGAGTCGACTCAACCTGATAAGTCGACTCATGTACATGTATGAGTCGACTCACGAGCTGAAAACTGGATTCTTCGAATCTACTACTCGTCGTCTCGTTCCACGCTCCAATCTGCATTCCCCTGTACTGTTTGACACCTCTATTCTCATGTTATCATGAGAATCATCTATCCTCAAGCTCCCATGAGGATCGCTAAGTTCCGAAGAGAAGATACACCCGTATCATGGGTCCCCCCTTTAGGAACTTAAAGTCTCGTTCAAGTTAGAACTTCAGCTGAGGAAACTCGCGAGCTCCTCCTTCCTTGTTGAACCACTTAGCTTTGCTAGGAACTTGCCATTGACATCTAATGAGAAACGACTCCTTCATCCCCCGTCTCTTCGTGGTCGTCTTTCGCTCTAAAATGCAATCTTCCTTCAGCGGCTCCTCTCTATCAAACCACAAGTCTTCAACACGCGACAAGATCACCTTGTCATCACATTCATCATCCAGCAATGGAGGCTCAAACAACTTCAAATACTCGGCATTGATCACCGAATACATGCCTAAGTAAGGTGGTAAATCGAGCTTGAAAGCGTTGTCGTCAATCTGATCGAGAATCCGAAATGGACCATAACGTATCGGTTTCAACTTCTTCCCTTCTCCCTTGAGCCTCTCCTTACTCAATTTCAGCCATACCATATCGCCCACGCCAAAGTTACAAGGAACCCGATGTTGGTCATGGTTCGCGTTGTACCTTCCTTGTGACTTCTTCAATTATGCTTCAACCGAGGCATGAATATGCGCAATCTTCTCCAGAAATCGCTGAGCATGTTGTCTTTCATTCCCCTCTTGCAGTCCGTCGTAGCTTCACTCGAAAATACGAGATCAAACGGACTCGGTGGTAAGAATCCGTAACAAGTCTCAAACGGTGACTTTCCCGAAGATCCATGAATCGCCCGATTAAAAGCAAACTGTAAATATGATAAACTCTCACCCCAAGTCTTGGGATGCCTGAAATTATACCCCCGCAACATATGCACCATAGTCCGGTTGACTACCTCTGTTTGTCCATCTGTGTGTGGATGAAAGGCCGTGCTCTTCTTCAATCTAGTGTCCATCAGACTTCACAAAGAATCCCAAAAATGTCCGAGAAAGCGACTATCCCGATCCGAAATAATCGAACTCGACAACCCAAAATGCTTCCACACATGCTCGAAGAACAACCGTGCTGCACCCGCTCCCGTCACGGTCTTCTTACAAGGAATCAAAATCATCATCTTACTCAACCGGTCCACCACAACGTACAAATAGTCATGCCCGTGCTTGGTAGTCGGCAACCCTCCTAGAAAATCCATAGATATGCTCTCCCACGGCCTAGAAGGAACCGGTAGTGGTAGGTACAATCCTCTCTTTCTGTTAGAAGGCTTCGAAATACAGCATAACTTACACCCTCCAACATACTTGGTCACATCATCTAACATCTTAGGCCAAAACACATGTCGTCGTAGATTGAGAAGCGTCTTTTAAATTCCAAAATGTCCTTGCACACACGAGGTATGTGCCTCTCTAATCTATTGCAACCTATCACCCTCCTCCGGAATGCATAATGATATCCCACAATACAACAAGTCATCCTCTCCATGTGCATACTCCCCCCTTTGACCAGCCTTCGCCTACTCGAACACACTACCGAAGTCTCTACTGGATGCGTACAGCTGTACATACTCCAAAGGAACCAAGGGCTGAATACGTGTCGCCACCAATAAAGCCCTTACCGACGGACAAGTAACATATCGGCCAACTTGTTTGTCGCCCCCTTCTTGTACCTAATAATGATGTTGAAAGCCATCAAATAAGACATCCATTTCATGTGTCGCGCCTGCTGTAGCTTCGTCTGGGCATGTAAGAACTCCAACGACTTGTGATTCGAGTGCACAACCACCTCCTTCCCCAACAAGTACACCCTCCAATGCTTAATCGCCTGATAAAGTGCATAGAACTCCTTATCATAGGTCGGGTAGTTCGCAATAGCACCCGTAAACATCTCAGAATGGTATTACACTGGCTTCCTATCCTGAATCAACATCGCGCCCATCGCATAACTAGACGCGTCGGTCTCCACCTCGAAAGTCCGCTGCAAATTCGGCAAAGCTAACACCGGTGCCTCCGAGATCTTCTTTTTTAGCAACTGAAAAGCCTCATCATGCGTCATTCCCCACTCGAACTAAACCTTAGCCTTTGTGAGGCCATGTAACGGTATCGCATAAGTCGAAAAATATCGAATGAACTTGCGCAAATACTGGCAAGCCCCCATGAAGCTTCGCAACTCAGTCACTGTCTTTGGCATCGGCCACTTCGTGATCACCGTCACCTTACCCGGATCTATCCTCCTCTGGTCCTTCCCCACGATGAAGCCGAGATACACCAACTCGTCCTTCCCAAACTCGCACTTCTTCCCGTTGAGCTTCAGTTGTCCGTCCTGTAACACTCTAAACACCTTCTCCACATAAACAAGATGCTCCTCTCAGGTCCTGCTGTACACCAAAATATCATCAAGGTATACAATCACAAAATCCTTTATAAAAGGTCACAACAAATCATTCATGAGCCTCATAAAAGTCGCCGGAGCATTACATAACCCAAACGCCATCACCAACCA